AGGTGTTTTAAGATTTAGTTTTATTTCTCGTTACCCTTCTCTGATTTGACTGGTAATAAATTAAATTAATTTTCCCCAAGTCAGGTCTGTTTTGCCTGTGATGGTAATTGGCGAGTGATCTCTCCCTGTCCTTATCTCGACCTCCGAGCCTTTCACTATGTTGTCTGTCCCATGTCCAGCTGAGGAGGGGAGTGAGAGAGAGGCTTTGGTGGGCACCTGGCCTCCAGCCAGGGTGAGCCCAGCACAAGGAGTGAAAGTGGATGGAAGTGCAGAGCATCAGTATTTTCCTCACTTGCGTTGATAAGTACTTGACTGTTGTTGTTGCTCATACATGTCTAGAATAGAATTGACCCAAAAGCCGTGTTTTAAACTCTTTTACCTAAGAGTTGAGTCTCTCTTTGAATCTTTGAAACAGTAGTAATTCCAGCTAGCTTCCTTTTCAGAAATCTCTCCCCTTGTGATGAATAGCCACATGAGACGGTGATCGGTAACAGGTGGTGGCATTTAGAGTTCATATGGTTATCTGGCACAAAGGGAGTATGGCCTATGGCCGGGAATAGCTTGTACCACAATATATAAAATATGCAATGTCTGTGTGAAAGTTTGCTTCCTGTAATGGCTCTAGTGTTTAATATGAACACAACATTTCCTATAAAACCAAGGTACTTTTGGTTCTGGAGATAAAATCTTTTTTATCTCTCCTCGTCTTGTCATTCATTTGCTATATTGTGCTCATTTTATTTGCTATCTGCTTATCTGAGAAAATATTAAATGAAATGAAGTAGTTCTATTGATTTTTATTGTTTGAATGCCTTTTTTGCAATTTAATGAATTATAGTTGTATCAGCCATCAGTTAAGCGCCTGTTTGTTGGAGACTATTCGCTATCAGTTGTTTGGAAAAATGCCAAGGACAAAAACCTGTATTATTAAGTTCACCATGCTCAACTAGTTCACCAGTTAGAATCTTAATTCTGGTAAAACTGCAGGTAGCGTAAAATTTTAATCTTTGGTGCAACATGAAGAGACAGTGTTCTCTTGGAGGTCACTTTAGACTGTACTCACATACATAGCTTAATAAAACTTGTTTGTTCATATGGTAAGTGTCCAAAGAATTTGCTTGTTTACCACTTTTCTTATCTGCTCAGCAAAAGTACAGAGCACACCCAGCATCTGTGGTTGGCACAAACATTTAAATAAACTTCTCTGTGCTTATAAGTGGCCTTCAGCTAGTGCCTATAGCATTGCTGCTGAGATACTACGGAAATTCTGTTCACATTGTGCTGTGTATCAGGAAAAAAATCCTTTATTCTAGCAATTAATATCTAGGCTAATCCATGTTTTCATTTTGTAACTTTATCACTATAACAGTATAATATTTTCCATAAATATTTGTGAATGTGCACTAGATGAAATTCAAATGTTTGTTTCTTTTTCACTGGTGCTTGCAGCTGAGTGTTGTATGGAAAGAGCTGTTCAGGGTCAAAATATTGTGGAATACCATAAGGCAAAACATCCTTTTCTCACCTGAATGACACTTTGAGTTCTAGGATTCCTTCTGAGCACTTTGGAACCCTTGAGGATTGTGAAGCTGTATGAATCAAAAACCACAGATTATTTTTTAAAAAATAAAAAGAAAAGTCTCAATTACTGTAGTAACCTAACCTGTAAAATTTTGTGTCTTACTCCTAAGGAGCATTGTTTGTGTTGAGTTTCGACTCTATGTTGTGTGAATGACATGTTACTGAAAGCAACTGATTTGAAGAAACAAGCAGTATTCTACAATGGAGAATATTCTCCGTATATATACATATACCCTGCAGAACTTAAAATATCCTATATTGTGCCACATTTACAGATGACTGCTTATTTTTCAAACCTGTTGTAATTGCACCTAAGTATTACCACAAATTTTAAAATCCATATGTAGTGTTACCCATTGTGGACAGACATATTAGAATATTTCATTTTGTAGCCAGTCTCAGACGCTAAAAAGATTCCGTTTCTAAATTCTTTATGGTTAGCAATAAGCAAAAGAAATTTTCAGCAAACTATGTAGAGCGATACATACATAGACCAAGTAGGGTTAAAGTTTTAAGCAACATACAATAAGGAGAAAAGTTTATTAGTTCCTTATGAGATAACTTGAATACCTGAAAGTAACTGAGTAAAAATTCATAAAGGCTAAGACATAGTCCTGATGTGTAAAGGATCAGGATGTACTTCTGGATGTTCTCAATTATTTCTGTTTCAGAATATTTGAGAGGTGTTCAGACTGCAGTGGTAGTAACATATACATAAATCCCATGAGTATTAACTACTGGAAACTGCTGCAATACCACACATACACAGATCTTTTCAAAAAGAGAAAATATTTAATTGTGCCTAACCCACTACGAATTGGGAAACTAGGGCTGATGACCCCTCCCCACCCTCCAGTGAGAGAGAACTCTGTCTTCTACTGCTAATTCAGGCGTTTGCAAAGGAAATTGCCATTTAGGCATCTGAGCGAAGGAGGAATTGCACTGATAAATCAGAGTGGTTATCATGCTTGTACCTACCATAAAAGCAATTTTCAAAAAAATCCCATAACATGTTTATTGAGAGCCACTGCAGGCCTACTGACAGTCTCTCGCGTTCTGCTCCACTGATTGTAAACTGTTGGTAACTGATGAAATACTGCACTGGCAGAGGCCCTTGAAGAATGAAATTGCTTTTGCTCCTTGCCTGCCACAGCTATGGAGAGCTGTGCTTGTGAGATGAAACTCTAAGAAGTAGTAAAAACATATTCACAGAGTCTCTTCACTTATGAACAATCCTAATGACATGGTAGGCCAAGCTAAGATACCAGCTATGATGTTTGCAGCTAGCAATAGTGAACCTTTACTTTGTCAAATGAGTATTAACTTTTTCCTTCTGTCATTTTGACTTTTTTTTCTCCTTTGTTGTCTTTCTAGGTTTTTAATGACCAACAAGTTCTACGGAGGCTCAGCTAGAAATTGGTCCACTTTAGATTCAGTTGAGATTGTACAAGATGGAGAAAAGTTTGCTAAATTTAATGTTTCTGTCATCTCTGCTCCTGCAGAGTATTCATTTCATTGTCAGCTGGTAGGAACAAGCAATCTCTATCCTGCAAGGCTGATTCCATCCAACAATGAAGCAAAAAAATGGGATGTTTTCATTTCCAGGTTGCAAGTGAGTACACATTGCCGTTTTGGAGATAATTCCGAGAACTATTACTTGCTATTGTAGCTGCTGAACAGCACACATTCACAATGCCCTTACTTTCATTTCAGCCCGAGGGAAAATGTAAAAGAAAAGCTGTTCCCCCTAGGTGAGCTATTCAGTAAAGGGGTAAAAAAGACGGCGGTTGCTGAACCATAAGCACATGAAAGCACAGCTTTGAAAAACAAAAAGCTATGAAGTTGTCCATAGAAAAGAAACACCAATAAACCCAAACGCATTTAATCAGGCAAAGAATGATTCAGTCCCTGTGTCTGTTTAATGAATTGGGCTGCTGTTGGAAACATGGGCCTCTTAGGTGGGTGGCTTTATGCTGCTTACTTTGTTTTTATTTGATTTCTTTGCACTTTGTTTACCTAGGAAAGTACAGCTTACTGTGGTTACTGGTTTCAGTGACAGAGTGTCTGTACTCCTACAGATAGAAACAAAGCCTGGTGCAATTAGATTTAATGCAAGATTTACCATGGACTTCAATCGGGAGCAATACTAGGTCCTGTACCACCCAGAAGGAAAGCAGCTGGCTTTTTACTCTATTTGTCAAAGTTGAGCTAACCCCATGATAACTGAATACAAATGCAGATGCAATTGTATTTATGATTTTGATAACAAACCAAATCTCAATAATCTGAGACCAGATTTGACATTTCTGCTTAAATGGTGGAAATCTCAAAGGAACAGCTTTGGTGCTGAGATTTACTTTCCATAAATTCCAAGATCAAGTCCCACAGATTTTTGAGAAGCAACGTAGCAGTACAGACCAATGTTGTGAAGGTTCCTTCTGATGGTATTTTTTATGGAAAGGCCTGAAAATACCCAAGTCCATGCAACTGTACTTTGCCTAGTCAATGCTTCAAAGGTAGACTTTGGCATCACTAGGCTATGAAAGTGCATGGGTTATGAAAATACAAAGTGTCCACTTGCAACATATCTTTTCCTTGAATTTCTGTGTACATTGATACTGCTGCTTTCTCAAACCTTAGAGAGAGGCCTTGCTCCATCCTTAGTAGGCATCCCTTCATTGGAGTCTTGATCAAAAGTAAAAGTGGTAGGTTTCCCACCTTCATTATTGATTTGGAGCAGCAGCTGCTTCTACTGTTCAGACAACGGAACTCCCAGTTCCTCTTGAGAAAGGCATTTTTCTCTGATCAAGTCCTAAGCATGGAACAAAACCTGAAAAGTCCTGTTCTGATCTTTTCTGTTGTGTGAGAAAACGGAAAGTCACCGTTTTGGGCTCATTTCAAAGTTCTATCTGAATTAGTTCATACCTTTCCAGACATCTTCCACTAATACATAGTGAAATCTGATTGATCTCAATATCAGTCTTTGTTCTAGAATGAGGTTTAGAAACCTACAAGCTCTGTTGCATGGTGAAAAAAGCACATGGAATGTGCTCAGTGGTTGCAGCCAGCACAAAATCTTATTGCTGAAACTGAGGAACATGATTTTCGTGTCAATGTTATGCAGTGAATTAGAAACCAATGCCAATGTAGCTGATATAATTACACTTTGCAACGTTGGGTCCTGAAAACAGTATCACTGTATTACAGGGACACAGCACCTGCACCATGAAGCCTTGCATAGCTTCTTCCAAGGCAAGGCTGAACCAGTGCAGCCTTTTACTTCAGTTCTGGAGCTAGCTCAGTCACTACCACCTAAAGAACCTCTGTGGGATCCTGTCTAGGTGTGTCCATAGCCTAGGATGTCACCAGTCACAGCTGTACCCAGTAGCAAAATTGCTCTGGTTTTGGTGGGGATTTTTTTTTGTTGGTTTTGTTCTTGTTGTTACAGGAATGGTTGTTCTACCATGATACCTTTTATCCTTTCAAGGATCTCAGAATTGTCTATGAAGTTAAAGAGGAGGCTGCCACCAAAAGCACTGCTTTTCTTTAGTATGTGTCATAGTGGTTTAGAAGCCCCTTTGTTCCTAAGAAAAAAATGCCAAAAACTTTAAAATCAAGAATATTAGGATTCTCTGGGGCTAAGAGATTTCTAAGTTCAAAAATTAGATGTTCAGTGTACACCTAAGAGCCATGAAAACAACAGATTTTACTTGAAGGCTTGGTCAAAGGTCAAATGATGAGAAAACTCCATTAAAAAAAATATTAAAAAAATTAACAGTAAATGCAGACTAGTATAAGCAAGCCAAATGACGCCAGTCCAAACATTAAAGTTAAAACTTCCGCAGTACAGAGGCCTGTATCCAAAAGACATTTACATTCATAAAAATTAGAGAATCATATGTAACTATTTTTAACTTTTCCCTAGATAGAAATGCTGCTAGGAGGCACATTTTTATCTCCCACCTGAGATCTAACACCCCCACAGAAATGATAAAGCTTCAGGAAAACAATAAAAGAACACTGTACATACTTCATCTGCCACCTAAAAGTAGACATAGCATTTTAAGAATGTACAATTAAAGCTTTCACCTTGAAGATTCAATAAGCATAATCCTGCTTAAAAACCCAAAACAATAGGATTGACATAATAAAATTCACTATTTCTGGCCCTAAATCAGAAGTGGTAAAGCCTTTCTAAACCAAATATACCTGTTAAGTGCTTCAGAGATTTCTTGTAAATGTGGTAACAAGTGTGAATTGTTTTCCAGAATTTCAATCCATTTTTTGAACGTAAATGACATAAATCATTACCTGCTTTCTGTTTTTATTGTGAATAAGTCTTTCAGACTGCGTTTCATGACTCCTGTTCACATTCTCATCTGTTGTCAAAGCAGTGGTTTAACAAGCGAAGGCTTTGGTAATCACCTGTATTCTCTAAAACTGTGCAAACAGTTATCCAACCCAAAAGCTTATTTTCACTAATCCTGCTTTCATCAAAAGTCTGACTGCCTGTAGTGAAAGCAGGCAGTCTTTGCAAGTTGGATACCATGATCTGACTTGGAAAGATTCTTCTAAAAGAGGCCCAGAAAAGCGTGAATGGCTACAATTTTCTTCATCTCCACAGTACCTAAACAGCCCGTAGTTCTGCATAAGATAATAGTTTTATTAATCAGCATTCTGGAAGGTATAGGCATTGGTCTTAACACAGACGATACATACACATTGACTTTAGGTGCCTGAGCTATGAATGAACTCAAACCCAAAGTGCTTACTGGTGTAGCATGGTATGCAAGCCACAAAATATTTTCTTCAATGATTTTACCAACACTTTTCCTAGGAAGTACTAACTCTTTTGTTACCGCAAAGCTTTCCCTTTAGTTTATCGGAAAGCACAGAGCAGTCACGGAGTGGGAACGTAGCAAAGTAGAAATCCCTGATGTTCTGCTTCCTTGCTTATTGCCTGGTGAAGGAAGTGATTTAAATAAAATAATTGTTTTTTGTTTTATTCTATAACATTTTATAGAAAATAGTCAGTTTTAAGGTTTTGCTTCTTTGCTGGTGGATTTATGATATTTGGTGCTTTCCTTATGCACCCATTTCAAAGAATCTGTAAGTACATAAGAATCCCAGCCTTCATTTTTCTTTATAAAATTATTTAGGAAAGACTCAAAACCACAGATCAGATTTAATTCTTTCTTTCCTTAATTTTCTCCCAACAGTTAGATTCACTTCCTTCTGAAGGAATCAGTGCTTATGTGATTATGTGCGTATGTGTGTGTGTGTGGGGATTGTCTTCCCGTTCTTCATAGTTCTCTAATGCTTTGCCTGGTTTTAACAAAATTTTTAGAAGGATAGTAGTCTCAAAGGCATTCAGTTTGTTGATACTTTTTGCAAAATTGGTGGCTAGGCAGACAATAGATTCCCAAATTAGTTGATTTTTCTGAGGAAAATAATATGGTAGGAGCTCAGTCAGTGGCAGACCTTGACAATCCAGTCAAAGGAGAGATATTACAGATTTTTCTAACTGCTGGAAAAGCTTATATGGGTTTCATATGTTAACAGACAACACAAATCCCACACCTCAATAAAGCAAGCCCTCTCTCCTGTTTTGAGTCTCTGATGTCTAAGGACAGGGGAAGAAAGGTTTCACAACTGTTTTCTCCTTGAACTTTCACTAAAACTCAGCCAAAAAGGTCATCTTCATTAGATACATCTTAAAGTAGGTTTCAGGAGTTCTGCTTCTCATGGAGCTATTAGCTAAAGATCTCACGGCATTTCAACAGATCTCATGATCTGGGAGGCCCTTAACTCTCATGCCTTTGAGTGCCTTGAGTTTCCTGGTTCTTAAGTGGTCATTGAACAATGCTGATCACACATCCCCTTTGGGACTTCTAAAAGTAACACAAATTTCTGAAGTGGGAAACCTACTTTTTGCCAAACGAACGAATTCTGCATCTTTAATTTCGTGGGTGAAAAAGAGACCTGAAAAATTTTTATGCAGATGATTTGGTTCTCATTCTTTTTTAATGGGCAGAATATGAGTGGTAATTAACAGGTGTGGTAATTACCACATATATCCTGAAAAGAGGGCCTACGCTCCATGCTTAATTGCACTTACCTATCTACCTTTCTTCATTTTCAGATTCAAGGCTTCAACATTGAAAACAACCAGTTTTCCTATGCAAGTGACTGTACAGGTTTCTTCACTCCTGGAATCTGGATGGGCTTGGTGACATCTATAGTTTTACTGTGGATCCTGGCCTATGGAATCCATATGATCATGCAGCTCACAACAAACAGCAGATTTGATGATCCCAAAGGTCCAGCTCTGTCAGTTCCTCAGACAGAATAGCCATGGATTGACTTAATGCTGCTATGGCTTTTCCTAGTCTGATATTTGTGATTTTTAGAAACTTTCTACTTCATAATATGTGTAACCTTAAAAAGATATCACAGCAGAAAGAGATAATTAAACTACATATAAAAAGGATCCTTATGCTTGGAAACAATAATAATTCTACTTGTTATTACCATCATTTGTTAAGAACTATCTGTGTTAAGGGTCTGAGGTGAGGCTGTAGAGGTCATTACTCTATCTGGCTATTAGAAAGACCATTACAAACTGTCTTCAGATTAACTGTTATTGGCAAAGAAAGAATATCACAACAAAGATAAATGGGAAGGATAAATAATTTATTTGATAGGAAACTATATATTGAAACTACTGCCCTCTATAAAAGCTCTTTAGTAAGTATGTCATGTTGATGCTACATCTTAAGAAGGCTGAACTGTGTCTTGTGATTTTTTCTCTTGAGAAAACCATCTAGAACTGTACAGAACTAATAAAGGATAAGTAACTAAGTAAATGGTCTTGAAACATCTTTTAAAAATACATCACTGTTCAGATGTGGTATCATAAATGAGAATAGATTTAAGGTTTAGCTTCCCTCTAATGTTATGCCTGTGAGAATTATGTTGAGTAATGCTCATTCGTGTGTTTATTTTAGCCATGGACAGCTGATAGACTTACTAAGAAAGGTAGGTCCTTGTCCAAACTAATCACAAAATTATACATGAACTTTTCAACCTCATAACCTAGTATAAATCAATGTGCCAGTGCAGACAGCATCTTAACAGAGATAAGGTAATTTTCTTAGCATCCCTCCTTTTCAAGGTATCTTTGGAGTAGTTATGAAGTTTGTACAAAAAAAGGAAAAAAAATATATAAAGTCATTAGAAGCACTGTGCTAATGTACTGTTTAAGTCTGAGCATGTTTGTGGTCATCTCAATGATTCCAGAAGCCTGAAAAGAATCAGAGTGTGCTGAATTCTGCAATTAATAAAGACAGTATATATTTTCATTATGCAATCTATGGAATCAATTACTAAATGTTATGAAAAACTATGAAATAGTAAAAGAGCAATGGTAAAAAATGCTAAAAATAACATTTTCATTCTTTCTTCTGTAATGTTTTGTTATGACTGTGTGTGTTCTATTAGTAGTTAAAGAACAAAAAGATATAATTTTGACAAAATTGTATATGTCACATGCAAAAAATTTTAACTTTTCTGATTTTGATCCGTGTCATAGGACATTGATACAGTGGAAAGACAGTTAGAATCAGCTATTTAACTAGATCAACAATAGTTTCTACCCATCATTTCTGGATGACACATTTTTATTATGCAGTCAAAGATGTAAATTAAATGCTGTCTGAAGTTATTCCTCCTGAATCATTCAGTCCTGACCTGGAAAAGAAAAAGAAAGGTGGCATGTAACTAGCAGAGGTGACTCCTCTGCTGTAATATTTTTCCCAAATGTTTTTCGAAACCTCAAAGACTGCTGGTGTTTGATCTACACAAAAACATTGTGTTAGAAAGGCACATTTTCTTTGCAAAAATTAGTTGCTAGGAGAGACAACTGGACTTGTTTTATTAATTCTCCCTTCAAAGCAAGTTACATGAATGTGGCAATTGAAAATTGACATAATAGTCATGTAACTGATAGCTAGAAGAGAGGAAGGCTGTTACAAAGGACTTGGTTTGTAGAACACAGCTTTCTTATGGCTTTTATCTAGATTCAACAAAATTTGGAACATATTTTGTTCAACAGTGATGATAAATAAGAACGAAAGAATAGCTTTCCAAGGCCACCCAGCTCAGGATCCTATCTCCAGCAGTGGTACAAGTAAGGGGAGCACGTAGTAGTGTTTCCTGCAGATGTTCTCCCATTCTCCACCATTTAAGCTCAGGGACTTCCTCAGCCAGAGGTTGTGTCTTTGTATTTAATAACTCTGGCTATAGTTATAGTCTGTGACTTTGTCCGGCCTCCTCTTGAGCCTGTGGACTCTCCTAGAGCTCACAGTGTCCAGACCGTAGTGTGGCACTGGGGGGACCTGTATCCCCTCTTGCTTGCCTGGGCTGGACTCTGGAGAAGAGGAGGAGGAAACAGTCTCCTATAGGCTGTACCATGGGGAAGAGATAAGCCTCTTTCAGAAGAGCTCAGATTAGAAGAGATGTTGGAAGAAATGTTTATTGGATTAGCTTTTCATTGATTCAGTAAAACTGAAGCTCTCTGAAAAGGGCCAGGTTGAACTGCCTGCTGTGTTTGATATTACATATTCCAGTGTGAAGAGGAAGGCATTTTTTTGGGAAAAAAACTTTTTCCTTCTGCCTTCTCTCACAACAATGATACCATGAGTGCTGTGGGCCTGTGGGGGTGTATAGTCTGTTTCTATAGCGAGTTGGGATATCCCTGTGATGGAAAGTTCAAGCCACGTGTTGTAGCCCTTGATGTGGTAGGGTTATTGTTGTGAGGACTGTGCTGGGAAAGACTGCAGAAAAGGAAGGGAACTGCCTACAGCCCCAGCTGTCCTGAGGGCCAGGTGGACTAGGCTCTGAGGACAATGGCCAGTCCCTCTTCTAAGAGAGTCAACTGCTCTCTGTCCACATGTGGTGGGCTGTCCTTGGCTGGCTGTCAGACACCCACGCAGTCGCTCTGGCCTCTTCTCACAGAGGCCACCCCTGCTACCAACACCTGGACATGGACATCCAATACACCTCAGGGGGCCAAGTGTGCTGCTGGAGTCTCCATGCCATCTCGAACCCCTGCAGCTGCACATCATGGTGCCCTGAGGCTGGAGACAAAGACAATTGATCACTGATTTCAGCAGGGATGGGTTCCTTGCTTTTAAGTAGGACTGGACCTCAAGAAATCCTAGCAAGATTTTGCATCTGCTTGTGTTTGTTTACCTTTCTGAATAGAGTTAGAAACTTGTCAGTGGCCTTCCAATTCTGTGTTTCACAATTCAACTTAATCACAGGTGTACTTGTTAAAACATGCTTACTTTGGGAGCTGTTCCAGCCAGAATATGAGCTTTGTCTGGAAGGTGTGAGCCTTTAGGACTTCCCCCAGAGCTCACTGAAGTTCTCAGAAGCACTGACTGCCATGAGCGCCTCCTCATTTCTCTACAAAGTACAAAAAAAATTAATAAAGATGAAGGGGGTGATGGGAAAGAGCATCAGTTAGAAAAGCAGATTTTTTTTTGCTTTCAACTATATAAATAAATGAAACTTTATCAAGAAAAAAATCAGAAACTATCAAAAAACTATCGCACAACTTTTAAAAAATCAATTTAACTGTGAAAAATCAAGATTAAAACCAGAGAAAACTCAAACCTAAACACGTAAGTCTTGAAGCCATGAGTTAAGGCATTTCTTCACAAAATTCAGCAATAATCATTTGTTGGAGGGGACAGCTGAGATGGAGCTAGAATCTGAACCTCCTGACCTGATACAGGTTTGCTTTGTGTCCTGGTCTGTTGGTTTCCCTGCTTGTAAAATTACTTATTTCACAAATGTTGTTGAAACCCAACAGTGACTTACAGTGAAACAGAATTATAATAGAAATAGTCCAAGAGTAGTATTTTTATGTAGGCAGTAAAGGAAAATAAGTCATTCCATCTGTCAAGGGAAGACTCAATGAAGTAATTGGCTCCTCCTTTCCTTTTGAGTGACTGATAAATAATTAAAATGCAAATCTAAATCAGCTGAATTATTAGGCAGTATCCAGGAATTAGAGGGCTCTGTAATTACTTCAGCATAAACTGAGGTCAAGCAGGGGAAACCAGAGATGCTGAAAACAAGGAATGACCATGAGAAGCTAATTCCTAAGATAACCAGAGATACAAGAAGAAGCCCAAATGTTGGATACTGGTCACTGCTGCCAAAAAACTAGTAGTAGTTTCAGCAGGTGGTGATGGCTCTGGGGACAAATGTAACGATAATCTTAACCTTACATTGAACAAGAGGGTAAGACAACCCACACAAGGGGGACAGGGACTCCTTTTCCTGCAGGCTGTTTTTTCTCTTGCATCCTGTGGTGGGTTGACCTTGGCTGGCTGCCAGACACCCACTCAGCTGCTCTTTCACTCCTCCTCCTCCTCCTCCTCCTCTTCTTCCTCAACAGGACAGAGGGAGAAAATAAGACAGAGAAGCTTGTAGGTCAAGGTAAAGACAGGGACGCCAGTTACCATCATGGGTGAAACAGACTTATGGAAGGTGAATGTATTGACAATTAAAATAGTTTGGAAAGTGAGAAATAAAAACAAAATTAAAATGATGCCTTCGGTCTGCTCAAATGCCAAAAAATCCTGTGGTGTCTAATATCTTCCAGTAAAGGAACCTGATCTTCAGTTTGCTAATAAAGGTTTTGCTCTCAGATTAGTCTGTTCTCTGTCAAAACTTAATGCAAAATCAAGGAGAAAAGAGGTGTTTCTTCAGAACTCAGATTTCTAAAGGCTTAAAAATTATTGAAGTGCAGGGGAAAAAAAAAAAAAGAAAAAAGGTCTTCCTACCTGTGTGGGTGGAAAGGAGACTTACAACAGTGACTGAGCCCAAGAGCAGATCATCTGCTATTCATGTCCCACAAATGAAGTGGCTTCCTTACCTTCACCACGACTTTTTTTGTGCCTTCTGTTTGAACGCAGGTTCCCTGCTCCAGATTGGCTGGATTTCTGTATAACCCCAGACCTGGTATGTTGATTAATTATTATAGTTGAACTTAGTTTTAGACTGGTTTATGTATCATTTGTTATTGCTATAATAGAATATAGTTTACTGAATGATTATATATTTTCTGCTTTGTAAATGGCAATGTGGGTGTCCAGTGGAAGACTGGCAAACCCGTTCTGAGTCTGTCTTAATACTCTTTTAACTACTTGTGTAGAAGTAACGTAAAGAGTGAATGGTGTACAGTCACCATGACATTGTATGCAACTTTCTTTAGTTAATGAAAACTGTGCAAAAATAGTGTTTGCAACATAAAAAACCCCAACAAATGCTTTCATAAAAGTGCTTTTGGAAGGTGGATAAGTTAAGGACTTCCTGATGTAATGTTTGAATTACAATTTTGTGTATCCTATTTATTCTGGATAAATACGGATACATATGGATAGCAGAGTGATCAGTTTAGCTATTTATCAGGTGTCTTTCACTGAAGCGTACTGGCATGATTTGAGATATTACCGTTGCTATCTACCCTGCCTTTCGTTCATATATACCTGTGCCTCAGCTG